AAACAACCTACCTAATCTTAAAACACTAAGTTAACAAAAAGGTTACTAAGTTAACAAAAAGGTTAAAGGGAGCATTTGCCTAAAAATTACATTATGGGATTTGATATACAGTAGATCTTCTACAGTTTTATCTCCAGAATTCTCAAGTCAGTCAATGCATCTGCAGTATAAGGATGAGGGAAGCCTGAGCTGGGAAGTGACAAAAAGGTAGAGTAAGAAAAAAGGTCACAACTAGAAAAATAAAGAAGGGAATAAAAATGAATATGGAAATTTAGATCTTGGGAAAAAGAGCTGAACAGAGCAATTATAGAATAAAAGGTATTATATAATATGTACCCTGCAAAAGGGAAAGAAAGTAGAAAGCAGAAAGATGGAAACAGTAAAGAATTTTCCTTTCCTTTCCCTTGCATTTACAAAGCATAGTATTCTGCTAGAGAGACAGACAGAAAAATACTAAAATACCTTTTAAAGTGTTAAAATGCAATGGGTAGTTTATCACCTATACCCATTGAGTTAATTGACTTTGTTAAGAGAGAGGATTTTCCTGGTGGTTGGATGTGCAGCCACTGATACCAAAGTGTTTCATAAGGACCTTGCCAAGGAGAACAAAACAGAGTCCTCTGCTAACCTTTCCCTGATCCTCCCTGGTTGAGAGGAAAGTCTTGCAGCCCACCTGAAGGTGATCTCCTCCTGTCTCTGTTGGATGAGAGAGCTCCTTCCTCCACGCCTGTCTTGTCTCAGCAACCAGCCTCCCACACTGCCCTTCAACAAGATATTGCTCTGGCACCTTGTGTAAGCACTCAAATTAACCATTAAATGCAGTCTTGATTAAATACTTGTAAGGAAGGGATTTCTTTCACAGCAGAGTGGTTTAGTCTCTCCCTTTGAACCAGCAATGCTATATAAATAGGTTTACCTCTGAATATCTGCTACACAATGTTTCCCTTCAAATATCAAAGCAAACCCAACCCAGTGTTACATTAGAACATTTGGCAGTCTGAGGACTTGTCAGAAATTGTGTCTTGTCTAATGAATAAATATGAATTTATATATCCCTTGTATATTACACATACTGTTCCTCTGCAACACAGGAAATGTGACAGCAGCTGACAACTTAACATGCATTTCCTTTACATCCCATGGCTGCATGGCTTTGAGGAGCTCTGCTCCCCAGCAGTGCCAGGCTCTCAGCAAACATTTCCCTCAGCCCTAAAGCATGCAAGGGACCTCGACAGGAATGAGGGGCTGAGCTGCAGGAGATGAATGCCATGCTGGCACTGGAGAAACCCAGTAAAACATGGACTATAATAAAGGCCTTGAGTGGAAAAGTTGCTCCTTTTTGAATTGGTGTGAAATATAGGAAACTGTCTCCCAAGCTTAAATTGTCCTCCAGCAACAGGCACAGAATCTGGATAAGAAATTATTTTCCTTGAGAAATCTAATGATTTGTAGTGGGATGCTGTCATTATAAATATACTTTTATTTTTGTGGGTTTTTTCCCCAAACATGCAATAAAAGAGTGAGTCGTAAACATGTAGGAATACTCCTCCTCATTTCCTTTTGGGCCCCCAATCAGGAAATGTTGAAAATCAGTGTTGGTATTGCTGAAGATTAATGGCTGCTGCTCAGAAACCATACAGAAAAGGAATATATTCCTGCCAGGACAAATACATAGGCCATTGGACAAAAATCTGTGAACCACAGATAGTATTATATCATCATTGTAAAGATCCACACTGCCTGTCTTGCTCTGTAATTAATTATATTCACATGTGGGTTTGACTGAAATCACTGTATCAACCAGGCAAATTAATGCCATGCCTTCATGGTCCAATTTATTCTACTGGTATTTGAAGTTTTCTTTTCAAATCAGCTTTGCAGTATTTAAAAATTAGATTTTTTTTCCAGGTATAGGAAGCAATACTTCATGGATTTTTTTGCCACTATATGTTCAATATGGGTTTAAAGACCATGTAATCACTATTTTTTTTATATGAGCAGTTAGATCTTAGAAGAGAAAATACACTCCACTGAGCTGTAGGACCATTAAAATAAATCCCTGTCATCAGTTCATTTGCTTCCCACTCTCCTTCAGAGAGGCTGTACTTAAGAGCTCTCCTGCCATGTATATTGGGACATATTCTCATCACCACAGCTTCTTTTCTTCCCTTTTGTTTTCTTACAAAATAAGGCATAGGCTATTTGGTGACTTCAGATGTTTGTGAAAAGCTTTCCTTCTCTACATTCAGTAAATGTACAGGGTCCAGCCAGGAAACATGAAGACAGGCACAGCTGAGTCCAAATTAGTTCTAGAAGCTAAAGCACAAGCAAGCTACCTGAGGGTATTATAATTTTGAAAACCAATCAAGGTAAAAATGAGGACACAAACATCATTTCCAGGGCATCTCTCCACGGTTTTCTGACACGTTTGACTTCAAAATTAAGAGCTGGAGCATCAAATTGTGAAGTAAGTGCTCAATATTGGTACCAAGATCAATGTGGTGTGGGTCTATGATGTGAGATGGTGTGAGTAGTGAACTAAGCACATGATGCATGTGAATGCATTACCAGTTTACCCTGCTAACCCCACACACTGTCACAGATTACCTTCCATGGCTTAGCTCACTGTTTGAGGGTTCCAAGGCAGTGTCACCCTGGTGGAACAGCCATAAGATGCCTTCTACTCATGGCCGAGTAAACAATTATGGTATTTTATCCCATTTTTTTATGTAGAAAATAATGCATCTCCCTACAGGTACAGCCTGATGCTATTCTCAAAATAAATTCTTCTTACATATGCCTAGATAATGTTTGCTTTGCCAGAATTGAAATGGCTTCAAAGTAAACCTGCAATATGATTTGTCAGTCCAACAAAATGCCAGCCAGCCACCAGAGATGTCTGAAAAGATCTGAAAATAAAAAGCCATGAAATGACTCAGTGCATTAGGTCACTGTGACAGCCAGGAGGTAATACCAGAGTATTTACTTTGGCTGGAGCCTTCCTTGGCTCATCTTCCTTTGTAGTGTTAAAGCCAGGCTCTCATCTCTAGCCAAAGTGCTGGAGCTTGCCCACGTCAGAAATGGGTCAACACAGGTACCAGGGAAATAACTAAAATGGGGGGTTTGGCATGAAATTAAAAGCTTGTGTGGATTAAAAATAATTACTCTCTTCCCTGCCTGGCTGCAAGGAGCAGAACAGATGCACTCTATGGCCACCAGTGTGGGTGTCCCCATACCCTCCTGTCATGCCAGGAAGATTCAGCAGTGCCTGACATCCCTTTGGGGTCTGTATGTAGAAAACCCCTAAAAGTATTGTCCAGGATCTATTCCCATCATCCCCATAGGGATAATGAGAACATGGGCAGGCCTTCAAAGCTTGTGTAACTACCCCACAAAGTAAAAGACTATGGTGAAGAACAGGACAATTACTCAAGCAATAAAGACTACATTTATTGCCACACAGGAAACATTAGTGACTTTCTTCACCTCATCTTTCCAGACCACAAAGGTGACTTCAGGGTAAATCTTTGTGAACAACATGAGCATGATACATTTCTATTGAGGTTTGGCTCTGTTCACCACAGAAGCTGCACGCTAACTCCATCTCTAAGGAAATTACATATACAAGATTTTGAATAAAGTCAAATGAAGCACAATAAAAATGGTTACTTTTCTGTAATGGTAATTTCTTTTTTCCTCTGCAAAATTGCATTCAACATATTTTCTTCCTTTTTTTCCTGCAGGTTTTCATTGTAAAATGACTATTCTCCATCTTTGACAAAATGATTTATTTTGAATACATACTTCTTATAAGTCGACAGTAGTTTCTGACAAACTAGAGGTGAATTATGTGCAGAAAAAGTGATACTTAATGATACTTAGTGAGATGGAATCTCAGAGTTGTGCTAATGGTGACTCACGTACTGAAGAAATTAACAGAACAATTGCTTCTTGTAATCAGATAAGATGGTAACAAGTTCAACATTAAAGTAATAATGTTATGAATGTGGGCTTCAGGGGAAAAGTAAAGCCTTCTATGCAAAGATAAATAGTAATGGTTAATTGGAATAAAGGGATTAAGACAAAATATTTTCACACAGGTCAGGTGGCTTTTTTCTGCTTGTCCATAGGTTCAGTGAAAAAGGTCACTAAAATATAACCAAAAGAGTGTATGAATTTGAAAAGCAGTCCTACTACAAAAGGGGATAACTTTTGAAAAGCCACAAGTCTTCATACTGACTTTTTGAAATACCACATTTCAGCTTCTTATTTTGAAATTCTCTGGAGAGAATCTCTCACACTACAAAGAGTTCAGTGATGTATTAGCACTAAAGAGAATCTCAAAAGTGGACAGACATTTGGGGACAAGTTAAGTGCAAAATCAGGCTGACTGCCATCAGGGACTTACTACTGGGCTGAATTAACATGCAAACCAGGACAACTGAGAAAGCTTTCAAGAAAGCACTACTCCAAGAAATAATAAATGAATGGATCTTTGAAAGACAAGGAATGTGCAAAGCACTGGGCTCTGGAAATGAGACAGGACAGGCAGAGCTTTGGCTGAAGCCTCAGTAACATCTAAATATGCAGAAGTTTCAGGGGACATCCTAAGTCCATTTTCAGTATTCCTGACTTGTATATTGGCCTCTTGAATATTTTCAGTAATTATCGTAATTACATTCCCTATGTTTACTTATCTTTCCCCGCTCCCTCCTTCCCACTGGTTCCCCTGTGGGAATTTCCAGCCTCACCTGCAGATCCACATTTGTTTGTCAGGTGTTTCTTTGACAGGTGTTTATAGTTTATCTTCCTTGGGTCGCTGCAGTGGTAAATAAAACATCACTTAAAACTATGGCTGTTAAAGACCAACTACCACTGATCTCTCCTTGTGGTCCTTTGCCTTAAATATGATGTTCCTGTTAGTTGAGCCCTGTGCTCTTTGGACAACCTAAAAATAGATAGGTACATTGAAAATATGGTTTAGAATATGTTTCATTTACCTGCAGCTCTCCTTCCATTATACTGAGTAGTTTTATCAAGTCTTCTTTAGAAAGCTCTATGGACTTCTTGTTCTTTCTCTCACTAGGACCGGGTGATTTTGAGTGCCGTTTGACAGTTGCTGAAACCATGACCTCATCTTCCTTCCGATGAGGTTTGTTCTTTTTCTTGGCATCCTCCTGAAGTTTTTCATTCTCTGTGTGGCTGATGACAGGCTTGGAACTGGAGAAGTGCCCGTTAGACGAGCTTTCTCCACCTTGGTTTCGGGACCTCATCCCTGCCTAGAAAGAAACAAACATAAAGATGCATTTGTAAACAAAATTACTTACAAAAAAAGAAAGCCACAGTGGAAATACTGCCTTTGGTAAGAACAACAGTCTTCTAAAAACTGGAGAATACTGTCATGCTCAAGAGACTGTGGTAGAAAGCTCAACCATTCCAATAACTCTGTGTGTGGCAGAAAAAAAGTCCCGAGGTAAGATTAGCCATCTTTTTCAGCAAGCCAAATGCTGATATGAGTTTAAATGTATGGAACTTAAAAGTGATGTGGGACAACATGTTCCAGTGTTTCCTTTTCTTCAGTTGACGTGTTGATCATTCACAATTCAACACTACAAAGCAAAGCAGGTTGTCAAAGAGATCTTATTTAATATGTGGCTTACTAGAGAAACAGAAATGCGATTATATTTTTCAAAAGCATATTGCTGGAGAAATTCTCTGTGAGAGTGGAGTGCCAAAGCTTGATTAATGTCAGTCTGCTGTTCCTCTGAAATAAGCAATGATTTTATTGCAGGTAACCAAGAAAAATGGAGAATGCAGAGTAAATCAGGTGGCAAATACTGCACAGGATTATTAGACAATGAGTTCCATAAAGCAAAGTTGAAAAGAAGTTGAAAAATGAGCACAAATGGTATGAAATCACTAACAGGTAAATAGGCAATATCAACACACTCTTTCCAGAAGATTCAGGGTTTGTCCAAAATGTCAGGTCGTGGTTATTCAATGCTCACATTTCTGTCTTCTTAAGCACCTACATTGAGCCTTAGACTACGATAGCAAACATTTCTCAGCTCTGTCACCTGACCAACTGTACTGCTAAATTTTTATAGCAATAAATCTAATGAAAAATATTCCACTGCTTCCAAGTATTCCTCTCATTTGAATTAATCTCTGGTGCTAGTTTGCAGTTTGTTCATTAGTCAAACAGATGCTTTTCAACATCAATAACATCACACACACTTCTGATAAGGAGTTCAGAGCAGCAGTTCACTAGTTAGGGAGCAAAACCTAAAATACATTGGCTAATCAGCTTTGCTAAATTGCCCTGAGTCTGCAGTGGCTTGCCTACGTACTTGACTCAGGCCAGCATTATAAATCTCTTGCCACAATTAGCCTTGCACTTTTGTAGTTTCACAGTCAGCATGAAGATTGTCTTTTTATTATGACTGGTTACTCATGTCTTCACTAATTCAGTGGAATTCATCCAGCAGCATAAATAGGGAGAGAATTAGACCCTCTATTTTGGAGTGAGAGAGTTTCACAAAGAGATTCCTTGCATTGTAGGCCTGCTCTTATCCAAACAATATGTGATACAGGTATACAATGGCCTTTAGCTTCCTGAATGCTTATGCAGGGTGTTTTTCATCAAACAGTTTGGATCAAATACATGAATTACACTTTCTAAAAACAGATCTCCATTATAAGCATGAACAATACCTGAGAACCTCAGGAAATCTTTTAGGTTTCAGATTTATAATGGAAAAATAAACATAGTACTATGTTTCCTCTCAGATAGGGCTTTTCAATTTGTTTAACTTTAATGGGTTTGAAACTTTCCAACCATGCTTCCTCTCAGGAGAGAGCACTTGGGATTCAATCTGTCTCTATTTTCTAAGTGTTTCCTTCTGAGTCCCTGTGGGTCACAGCCTCCATCCACTTTCATCTCTAAACTAAACCTATTTTTTATGGCTTACAGTGAATAGCTTCATGGATCCAGGAGATCCCACATGTTTTGAGAACAAATATTTGAAGACTGTCTTGTATATGTTTTGCAGTGGAAAACAGATTATTATATTACAGTATATTCTGCTTAGTAGCGTGCCATTTTAGGGATTTCTCTGTAGCAAGGTGACTCAACTTATAGACCTGAAAGTGCACAATTAATGTTAAATTTAACTTATGTCTAGTTGAGACACATCAACAACCTGAAACATTGCATAATCAACCAGAAGCACTTAGCTGAGTATGTTAGACTCCATGAAAGGTGGTGTGTCACCCAGGCACATCATAACTCAAGACAGACACTTTGATCCATCTGTCCTTGTGGGAACTGAGAAAACAATTCATGAGGCTGTGTAAAGACTGAGCAGTTGACTATAGGTTTATCAACCTGTTAACAGAGAATTTAGGAATGCATATTTCAAGTGTGCTTATGCTCAATGTAAATCAGTAGAGGCCCACCAAGGACAAATGCAAAGTTATGTTCATTAAAATGGCAACAGAGAGGCTTAACCAATTGACCTGGTGTCTTGTATCATCTGGCTAATTAGCATATGATTGCTGTTAGAGGAGATCGAACTTGGCCTCTTTCAAAACTTCTTTTAAACTTGTAGATTTATTTTGCAGCAAGCCTTACCTGACAGTAAGTGTGGCAGACATTCTGCCACACTCAGGGACACTGCCCCTAACAGCCTTTCTTAGTGTGAAAGCCGCCTGCCAAAGTCAGGGTAATGCTAACACTTGCTCTGTCTTCCCTTATGATGTTGATACTTTTTCAACACATTACCCAAATGGAAAGGTGTCATGTGCTGAAGCCAGAGATGCAGGTGACAGAAGCTTAAATGGTGACAGAAAAGGCCAAGGTTTCAATATTCACACAGTAATTTCCAAGGAGTTTAAGGGCCAAAATCAACGGCACGATCCAGCTGTTGTGCAGTGCTTTAGGAACACAAAGCAGCTGTAAGGATGACTGAGTTTTAATCAGAGCAGCGTGAAGCAGCCAGAACATACCAGTGATGTTGGCTGAAATACTGTGTGCTGGAAAGTAGTGCTCAGCATTATCATTTTGGATATCCGTCTGCATTTCTGATGGCATCACGATAAAGGAAAGTTTCTGAGTATTTGCATGACATTATTTCAGTATGCAAATATCCAAATCCCAAAACTTTGCTTATCTGTTGTTTCACCGGGGTTCCAAAACTGATTCTGGGGACACAGCCAGTCCAACACTGGTAACAAATGACCTCCTGCTGTCAGTCCTGACCACATCTCCATATCTTACAGCATTCCTGATCTGCTGAAGGGATTGTGTTCCCTGAAGAAATAGCTCATATGATTTATAACAACTCTAGCATTTAACTCTACTTCTTTTTTTCCCACTCCTTATCAAATTGCATATTAAGCTGGAAACCTTTCCTAACAGTTTCCAGTCAAACAAGAAGACTTTATGTGATCAGTCACCTTGACTTTGACATTTATTGGCTACTCATTTCAATATGTGCTCACAGCATTGGTACTCGGCATGGGAACTCTTCAGCCCCTCCTCTGGTTCAGTCATTTGTTAAGCTTTATGCACAAAGGACAAATGCTATGGTTATTTACATGAGCCTGTATTGTTGTTCTGGGCATGGATCCTTCAGTTTTCACAAGTTAGAATCCACAGAAGATTTTATGAAATAACCTTTATGTTAGTTTTACTGACATCAGGAGGAAATCTGTGAGGAATTTGCTGAGTAGGATGTCAGGAGAGGACAGGCTGCATGCAATTCCAAGTCTTTCCCCCTCTGATGGCAATTTGTTCTCCCCAAAGCTCTTGAAATGGCAGGTTAGATTAGGCTCTGTTACTAGTTCTGTTGGAATTAGATAACGCAAAGGGGCTCTTTGAACTTAATGTGCAGCCCCTCTTGCTAATTGGACATGATGATTTTGGCTCCATAGTACTTTCCCTTAAGATAATAATAATAATGTTATAATACATACACACATGCACAAAAGTTGATTTAAAGCCATGATATGGTTGTTGCCATTGGCAATAAGTTTGTAGTCTGGATCTCAGTTGCAGATCTAACTGATTAGAGTATGACATGAAAGTGCTGGGTTTCTGACAGGCTAACAAAGTATTGCAGGGACAGTGCAGCTGGGTTAGTGAACCAAAACTGGAATTTGTTTCTCTGCTGTGGCTTTGGGAACTGTATCTTTCAGGAGCTCTGCTGTGCAGGAATTTGGAGTGGAGCAAAGTGATGTGCAGAAGTGCCTGGGTACACAGGGTTGATTGAGGAGAACTCAAGAACTGAGCAATTCAAGTTTCTGCCTGGGGATTATGGATCACTATATAAGACTAGGAGAGAATAATAATTTAAATATACTCAAACTGGACACCAAATAATATAAACCCTCCATCAGATCTGAAACACCCCACAAATGATGAGGAGAGCTAGAAAATTTTTTACGTGGTGTCAGTCTGTATCTGAAAGTAGTAGGTACAAATCAAAAAAAACAAAACACCAAAGACAAGATGAGAAAAGGGAAGGGAAGGGAAAAAGATATTTTCTCAAATTTCAGGCGGAGAGGAGGATGGGGGCATCAAATTGACCTTGTTGTCTTAGAAGTCCTCAGCAAGAACCACCCCAGATGGGAATGGATGGCTTTAGCTCCAAGGGATCTGGATAACCACAACTAAGTTTACCTGGCTTCAATGGTGTGACTTTCACAGGACAATCATGTAGAGATACAACTGTTCATACCACCTCAGAGACTGATTAAAATTATTAGTTTTCATATTGGTTATTCCAGGTCATTTTCCTGGGCTCTGCAGATGTTCATCATTTTGTCTGGCTGGAAGAGATTAAAAGGAGTCACATTCCCAAGAGGTTGTGATAGGCCCAGTAGGAGCTGTGGCTGCACTGAATGAGCAATGCTGTGCAGTTGGACTCTAATGCTGTGTGGAGCAGCTCTGGATGTGACAGACTCTGGACTGTGAATGAACTAGGCCAAGGGAATGCAGACCTCACTCTTGCTTTTGCTTTTGCAGATGACTCCTATGTTTGTTTCAGTCATGATGGTCAGAGGAGAGCAATAAACCTAATGACTAATACAATGAAGAACAGAAAAAATATCTGACCTTAGTCATCCTGGAGTTTCCTGAATTTCTAAATTTTTAAGCCTAAAGTACTAATCTGTTGTGCTGTCTAACCCCAGTCTCTTGTCCTCATATGCATCATGATTTGAGCAAACAAGAAAAGGTCTTTGTTCCTTTTGACAGTGTTATACTTTGCCA